AGCATCCAAGACGGCCCAAGAGGGCTCCAATAGAGCCTCCAAGAAAGCCCGCAGATGCGCGAATCATTGACTTCCCGTAGGTTCTTGGAAGACTGTCGCTTTCTCTCCGTTTCGAGCTTTCGTCGGCTCAAGACAGCCCAAGAAACCTCCAAGAGCTTTCTATGTCAGCTCAGGAGGCACCCAGAGGGCCCCAAGACGGCCCAAGAGGGTGACAAGATGCCCCGAGAGGATCCCAAGTCGGCCCAAGAAGGCACTTATACGGCCCTCAAGGTTCCCCGGGCCCCAAGGCGACCCAGAGACTCTGACAGCGCCCATACGATCCAAGAACGCCCTCAGACGGCCCAGTGAGCCCCCAAGAGCCCCCAAGGCGCCCCAAGGGAGCTGCCAACAGGCACCAGGAGGCCCCCAAGAACCCTGCAAGAGGCCCCCACCCAAAACCTTCAAGAGGCCCGATCACAGGTGACGGCCTCGCGTGCGCCCTCAGATAGTAGCCACCCAGCATGCTTGGACTGTCCCAGTGGCGAGACTGTGCCGCAGCAGCTAGATTGTTACACATAGATCTAGACCTATGGATGTATTTACATACATACCTATAAATAAGTGCACATGTATACGTATGTAAAACACACATATACATATAGGTATCGATAAGTGTGTGTGTGCGTGTAAAGATGTAGGTCGGACTAGACACACGTACATACATGCATGCATACACGCATACATGAGCACACTCATCCAGACGTGCACTCATGCATAATACATGCATACATTCATACATGCATACCTATACGACCACCCTTCGGGTGATAAGGAGGTTCGGGGGGGGAACCAATGTCTCACTCGATCGGTCTCACTATCGATCTCAGTATCGATCTCACTATCGGTCTCGCTCGATCGATCTCACTCGATCGATCTCACAATCGATCTCACTCGATCTATCTCATTCGATCGATCTCACAATTGATCTCACAATCGATCTCACAATAGATCACACAATCGATCTCACATTCGGTCTCAATATCGATCTCACTATCGATATCACAATCGCTCTCACAATCAACGTCATCATCATCATCATCAACATCATCAACATCAACATCATCAACATCATCACCAACATCGTCATCATCATGAGTGCACCGTCATCATCATCATCATAAACATCATCACCATCATCATCAACGTCAGCATCATCATCGGGACAACATCATCAGCAGCATCATCATCATCACCATCATCATCTCATCATCAACATCATCATCATCATCAGCATCATCATCATCGGGACACAGTCATCATCATCATCATCATCATCATCATCATCATCAGTAGCATCATCATAATCATCATCATAATCGGGGCACCATCATGATCACCATCGTTCTCATCATCAACATTATCATCAACATCGTCATCATCCTCGGGACACCATCATCATCATGATCATCGCATCATCATCGACATCATCATCAACAACATCATCATCATTGGGGCACCATCATCATCATGAGCAACATCATCATCAACATCGTCATTATCATGATTATCATCATCGGGACACCATCAGCATCACCATCATCATGATCACCATCATCATCATCAGCATCATCATGGGGACACCATAATCATCATCAACATAATCATCATCTACATCATTATCGCCGTGACACAATTTCCATCAACATCATCATCACCAACATCATCGGAATCATCATCATCATCATCATCGGGACACCATCATCGTCATCATCAACATAATCATCATGAGCATCATCATCCTCATCATCGGGACACTATCATCATCATCGACACCATCATCAACATTATCATCATCTTCATCGGGACACCATCATCATCATCATCATCATCATTATCATCATCATCATCATCATCATCATCTCATCATCATCATCCTCGCGGGACACCGCGGGACACCGGCGGGACACCGCGGGACACCGCGGGAAACCGCGGGACACCGGCGGGACACCGCGGGCCCCGGCCGCCTGGAAGGGAGTCATTTGGTCCGGCCGCGCCTCAGCCACACAGGACACCAGCGGGACACCGGCGGGACACCGCGGGCCCCCGGCCGCCCGGAAGGGAGTCATTTGGTCCGGCCGCGCCTCAGCCACAGGAGACTTTCTCTCGCCCGCCCACGCAGCTTCGCCTCGCCCGCACGGCACGCACGAACACGAAACCGAAATCGATTTCCCGGTAGGGGGGCTCTCCGTTCCACTTCGATCTCACCCCCTCACCTCCGACATACATGCACGCACACATGCATGCATAAATACATGCATGATGCATGGGTACACACTTACGTATGCACATGTATATAAATACCTAAAGAAACACATACATATATACCTGCATACATACATGCATACCCATACATATATATATATATATGCATACACCTGCACATACATTCATATATACATTCATATATGCATACATGCATGCATGCATACATACCTGCATACATACAGACATATATGTATACATATATACATGTCTGCATACATATACACCGACATACGTATACGAATAAGCGCATGAACGTGTATGTGTGTATGCCTACATGTACAATTGTATGTATGTACATAGTTATGCATGTGTGTATGCATGGATGTGTGCATGTTTGTATGGGTGTGTGTATGTATGTATGTAGGTATGTTACTGGTGGTTCAAAGATGGGGTCCTCAGGTACGGGGCCCTTAGGACGAGGTGTCTGAACCATTGTAAATCTAACCTTCGACCCATCCCGATCTAGGACCCCATCACTCGGTGCACCATCTTTGCACTGCCGATGCTGGCCCCAGGGAACCTTAACATATCCACACCCATCGCCTGCCGAGATCCCCGAAGCTCGATCTCCCAGGCGGCGGTGACGGATACAGTGGAGGCCAATCCACAAGAGAACCACCGCAAGAAACCCAACCCTGAAATCAGCCGAGGTTGATTGGTCCATGATCTGCGTTCTTGCACTTCAACTGCAAACGACGAAACCTAGGATACCCTGGCCCGTGGGGTCTCTTGACCGCTGGCGTGGCGTAAAGCAATTGGACATCAAGGAACCTAAAGGCGATCGAACATGCTAGCTTCGGGCTTGAGCAAACAGGAAGGTGGCGACTTCTCATTGTGGAAATAAGTTTTGCGCCCCTGCGGGGCAAGCGCCGCACAGGGGACCCAGAAGCGGGCGGGTCACCCGAAAACTGGTCGAGACAAACCTGCTGTTTCACTTGCACCCTGGGCCTCATCATGAGTTAGTGCACTCCGACCCCGTACAGTCGGGGCGTTGACCTAAGGAACCCTAAATAAGGAACGAAGCCCCTTTTTTTCACAAGTTAACCTTCGACTTGCAACCAAAAATTTCAGGAAAACATTGGGCAAGGTGTGAAACAATTAAGGAACACCGAGCCCCTCCCCAACGAAAAGGGTTCCTTCTTCAGCGCCCCGACTGTAGTACGCTTCCCCTGTGGAGCGCGCGCCGCGCAGGTGACCCACCAGCGGGTGGGCCACTTGAGGGATGATTCAAACAGACAAATCTTTTCACTTGCACCCTGGGCCTCGACATGAGTCAATGCATTGAATTCCGTGCGCTTCCCCGGTGGAGTGCACGCCGCGCAGGTGACCCACCAGAGGGTGAATCCCTCTAAAACTGCTTGAGAGAAACCAACTGTTCTACTTGCATGCTGGGCCTCGACCCAAGTTGGTGCATCCTGATTCCTCGCGCTTCCCCTGTAGAGCGCGCGCCGCGCAGGCGACCCACAAGCGGTCGATCACCCGAAAGCCGGCTGAGACAGACCAATTGTTTCACTCGCGCTCTGACCCTCAATCGGGGATCTTCTGACCCGGGTCAATCCAGACCCGGGTCAGCAGGAAACCAAAAACTGCAATGCAGGAAAAAAAAAACTGCAACGCAGATCTCCGCAAACCCGGGTCAGCCAATGTGCGCGGCCGCCCCGCGGCCACGACCGGCTCGCTAACCCAGGTCAGCCAGAGGGGGCCTTCGCAGGATCCTGCAGGACCTGGCGCCTTGGCTGACCCCCGTTTGCATGGACCCCCGTCTCAAGGCTGCCGACCCAAGACGAGCGGGCACCTTCCGGCTCCACGGAGCGCGCGCCGCGCCGCCCGCGGAGGGGACCCACCACCAGGACACGAGCGAAGACTGGCTGGGAACAACAGCCCGTTCCGCTTGCATCCTGGGCTTGCCGAGCGCTTGGGCGTTCGGCCACGCGCCCCGAACGCGCCGAGGCTGCCGCGCCAGACTGACGCACCCCCACGAGCGCGCGCGCTGTGAACAGACGGAGCCGCGGGCGAAGAAACGAAATGTACCCTACATGTCTAGAAGTTTCTTGGAGCTTCGGCCGCGCGCACCGAAACGCACAGACGCCTGGCAAACCCAAAATGCCCTTGAATTCGCAGTTTCTTCGAGCTGGCGAAGACCTCCCACGCCGACCGCAAGCCCAAGAAGAAACCCAAGGGACCCCGACAAAACAGAAGGTGCTTCTTGTCATGCGCCCCCACTGTATATCGACGCCTCGGATGTGGAAGCACGGGAACGCCGCCGCCTGAAACTCCCGCCGCCCCCGCAGGCTCGCAATAGTTCCTTGACGTTGGCCTCCAGCGCCTTCTGTCGGGCCCGGGGGGACATCCGGTGTGGATCCGAAGCGAACATCTGGCCGCAGGGGAGCCGCGGATTTACAAAATCATATCGGTGGATGTCAGTGGAAGTCGCGACGGAGGGTTATGTGCGGTTTTCGGGCAGCGGGGGCTCTTATATACCAAGCGCTACTGGGGCTGTTAACAGAAGCACCCCGGGACGAGAAAGCATGTCCGAAGGCCGCCTGCAAAAAAACAATCATGACATCGGACATCTGCGACAGAATGATGGGCCCTTTCCGAAACACTAACTTTTAGCAGGGAGGTCTCCAGAAATTCACATTAGTGGCAGGGTGGACCCAGGAGGGGGCCATTTGGTCAAAGGCTACGCGAAGGGC